TTGGTTTATAATGGTGATGAAAGAAAAAGCAGGAGTATGTTAAAAACAAATGGTGTTAACAAAACTGTACACTTAAGATGGTTTAAATGTTAAATGGCTTAAAATGTACATTATACCACATTAAAAATAAAAAATAAATAAATGGACTTAACAGAAAGTAGGTAGTTGCCATTTGGATGGGGTAACCTGATGGTAACTTCTGGCATCCTATTTTTCCCGTATCTGTGATCCTGGCTAAGAACAGATCATCAAACAGGTGACTACACACGGCATTGAATCTCTCACTTTGTGCTACAAGCTCCACAATAGTTAATGAGGTAGAAACATCATGCCCTGGGAACTACACTAATGCTATAAACTAAAAAAGGTCCTTGAAAGCACTTTCAAGGGACAGTCTAGGCAAAGTTGTCTCCAAAATCCACCTCTAGTCCAGATCATTCTCCAGAATTCCAACCCTAAATTATCGACTGCTTCTCCTTACCCACAAATTCTCCATGTCCCAAGCTCACTTTCTCATTCCACGGTGTCCCCGTTTCCCTTCCTTGCATAGAACCTAACTCCATTAGTAGCACCACTGCCTAACAGATTGCACATGAAGACACGGAGCAGGAGGACTTTCCAGTCTCCTCACTCCATGCTTCTACTCCCCACCCTCAACTTCCTACCTCCACACTAGAGGAAGAGGTAATGCCAAGCTACTTGCTCAGAGTCTAAGACACTAATGAGATCACCTTATACTAACAAGTGTGGCACTGTGCCCTATAGGTCCATATTCTGGACAACTGTGTCACAATTCTAGGCAAGGCCTCATCTTCATCTCTCTTGGGTTCAATGCTGCTATTATACAATCTCAAATAACTTAGTGAATTTATCTCTCTGCCTCTATTTTCTTATCTGTAAAAAGGGGATGATGATAAAATAGTGTACACTTCCTATAGTTGTGACAATTAAATGACTTAACTAAATGTGTCAAATGCTAAGAACGGTGCCTAGCTCATAGTAAGTAGGGAGTGGGCCCTGTAATCCTCCATTATTTTGTGGAAGCACTCCTGTTGAAGCCATCCAGTCTCCTCTCCTTCCTGCCTTTTTGTGGGAAATTGATTTGGTCCAAGTGGATCTCTTTCCCCCCATCTCTTGTTTCCTGACAAATCCTTCTCCTTGAGACTGAATGAAGCCAGACTCTCCTAGGTGGGAAGGAACTTTTTTTTTTTTGTTTAACAGAGATTTTTTGCCATAGGGTGCATGCGCTCACCGGAGACAGAGAGACAGAAAGCAAGAAGTCACTCGCCAGGGGGAGATGGCCACCTGGCAATCTCTCCTTCATTCTCCTCTTGGGATTTTGGGCACACATGCACAAGTGCCCAACTTGAATTTTAAGCTGCCAGGTCTGGGACTCGAATTATGGTTGCCTATGTGGGAGTCCAGCAACGTAACCATTACACTGTCTGCTGGTCCCTAGGTGGGGAGGAACTTTAACCCACTGGCCCAAGCTTCACGCCACAAGTCATTTGTACCAGGGGGTACACTGGTGAGCATAACTCAGTGCCTGTTCAATCACTAATAAAGCAGTACCTTGTTTATCTACCCCACACTTATTCTCTAACATGTGCAGAAACTATGTTTAGGTATTTTGCAAGAGTTGAAGTAGAATTTGAGCTGAAAAACCCTACCCAGTCATCCATCAGTTATCTCTCACTGACCTACAACACTGATAACATCACTGATAAATGTTATTGATCCTACTTCTTCAATCCTCCTCTTTATCACTACCCTCTTCCAAGGTCTTTACTCCTTACTGGACCATTACGCCAGCCTCCATAGGGGTATGCCTACAATCTCTTCTCCCTTCTAAGCCATCTTAACCAGAGTCATCTTCCTACACCTAGTCCTATCACTGGTGGCTCAAAACTTTTTAGTTGTAAAGCAGTTGGTTCAACCTTGGCTGAACATCAGAATCACAAAGATGATGTGAGAATCACTGAGGTGGGGACAGGAAGGAGTTGTTTTTTTAAAAAAGATTCCAGAGTGCTGCTAGGATTGAGGACCACATGTTTACTACCTTACAGGAAAATACTACAGAATAAAATCGCAAGAGGGGATCAAAAAATATAAAAAATAAACATTGAGAGGTAAAAACAAAACAAAAGTAACTTTGTTGTGTCAATGTGACAGAGAAGAGAATTTTGAGATTTCATTTTCTACATGGCAGAACTTGATATTAGCTCACTCCATGAGGGTAATCCATTCAAAAAATCATTCTAAAACAAATAATGTTATGCCCGTACTTAAAAGTCGGGACCAGCAGGTGACATAATAGCTATGTCGCTGGACTCCCATATAGTCGAATGCGGTTCAAATCCCAGACCCGTTAGCTTAAACTCATGCTGTGCGTGTGCATGCCCAAGATCCAAAGAGGAGATGGAGGAGAAGGGATTGTGGAGTGGCCATCGCCCCGGGGAGTGATTTCTCGCTTTCTGTCTCTCTGTCTTTCTGGTGAGCACACATGCCCTATAGCAAAAACCTCTCCAAAAAAAAATAAATATGCACAGTGGGTCTTAACTACCACTGCACTGAAATCAACATTATATTAATCACTACTGCATTAAAACGCTGCAGTAAACAAATAACTCCTTACTCTCAAGTCACTCCCAAATCATTAATGATTATACTTTGAGCTATTGGTATTTTAGCTCAGAAAACCAGAAGCACTTCAGGTGGCATGATACATGTTTTTTTTTTTAGTTTTTCTTTTTTTGACAGGTTTTTGCTATAGGGCGTGTGTGCTCGCCAGAAAGACAGAGGGAAACAGAGAGACAGAAAACGAGAAATCACCCCCCAGGGTGGATGGCCACGCCACAATCCTTTCTCCTCCATTCTCCTCTCAGGATCTAGCACACCCATGCACACGTGCCCAGCATGAGTTTAAGCCACCAGGTCCAGGACTCAAACCACGGTTGACTACATGGGAGTCCAGCAACATAGACATTACACCAACTGCTGGTCCTCATGGTACATATTTTTACAACATAATTTTGAAAGGTCAGGGGCTGTCGGTCCCAGTGTTACATTCAGGGAACGGGGAAAGTTTGTGGACTAATTCTGTTAACAACGACTCTTCCACGCTCTGAGGAATATTCATGCAAGCTATGTTACTGCTGCCATTATATTAAACCTAGTGGTAAAGTCCTGAACAGTATCTTGTAAATCCCATAGGTATTTGGACCTTTTCTAAATATCCTAAACTTGGTAAAACTATGCTTTTTCTGTGTTCAACACAAACACTTCTTATTTTACTTTCATCAAAATTTACTACTTTTTCTCCCCCTAGTTCTGAGGCAGGACTGGCACATACAATTGTGCCTATTATCCAAAATCAGGGTTATTCGATGATTCACAAATGTCACTTGTGAAGTGTGTACAGAGAGGCACAAAGTAAGATTTTCACAGAGCCTCTATAAATGACAAGGAAAGCTGGTCCCACAGTGCAGTGATTAAGCACTGCTCAGAGGAAGCAGGATCTCCCCGGGAAACCAGAGTTTGAGTACTGACCCAGGCAGCTTGAAAGTCACATTGGGCATGTGCATCTGTACCCGGGATCCTAATGGGATGAGAACTGGAGCAAGGAGCACTGTGACATGACCAGACTCCAGTGAAGGGTCCGTCTGTCTGTCCATCCTTCCTTTTCTCTCTCTGTCTCTCCTTTTCTTTTGTGTGTGTATCCATGCCCTGTGGCATAAAAATTTACACACACACACACACACACACACACACACATATAATATAACACGCCAATTCAATCTATAGTCACAAAATTCTCTCATTTGTTTTTAAAACTGGGTTATGTAGATCCTGGTATATTCATGATTCTACATCCAAGTAAAATAGCAGATTTTTAAATATATGCGCTAAAAATACACATGAGTAACAAAAAGTCTGCCTGAGATAGCATAGTTGCATTTTGAGTTATAGAAGACTAAGAAAAAGAAAGCAATACTGCAGAGCTTCCCTGAGGAAGAAAGGGGGTGATAGGAAACAGCACCGGCTTGGAAGCGAAGAGACTTGAGCCCTGTCATTAACTAGCAGTGTGGTCTTAAGATGACTGTTTCCATCTCTGGGTTTGATGATTTTAATCTGTAAAATGAGGGTGATGGACCAAATAAGGACTTCCAACTTCTTTCTAGTTCTGAACATCAGCCAGCTAGAAAAGAGCTGTTTTCTATCATTCATCTAGCCCATTGCACTGGCAGTACCTCTGAAGCCACAGGCATCTGTGTTAGAAACTGCTGCAGGGCAGAGTGGGTATGCACGTAAATATTCACCCTCAACATCCTGTACCAGGGACTCTGCTTCTCCATCCACTATATCGTTAGAAAATCACCAGGCTCTTGACCTCCAACTGAGAGATGTCACTCATTACAACAGACACAGAGGCAGTGGGTCCTAGTCTGAGTAGAAGGAGCAAGAAGCAGTGAGCAACCAGCTCCCATCTAGGAAGAACTAAGCAATGTCAGAGCTGGAAGCATTTATCTATCATCTAACGAAGCTTCTAATTTTATACAAAGGAACACCAAGTCCCCGAGAGGAGAACTGATCATCATGGGTGACTGGGCCGGTAAATACTCAGGCCTCCATGGCAAGTGTTCTGCTCACTACCGCATGAAGATCAAGTTCACAGAAATGTGTGTCAAATGATCCGGCCTTCTGAAATGATCTAGTAAGTGAGGTCAGAGTCCCTGTTGCTCCTTAATTTTGATTCCAGTTTTCATGGAGGGAAAAAAAAGTCAAGGAGATAGGAAACACCACTGAACTGTATGAGGGGAAGAAAAACAACCTGCCTCAATGGTAATCTAGGCTCTGCCATGATAACCAATAGAGGAGTGACACCCACTCCCACATACACACACACACACACACACACCAAACTCCCTCTCTAAGCCCACTCCTCATCATTCCCTGAGATCATGAGTTCAGGTTCAGACCATCTGTGGGAGCTTCCTTACCATCCCAATGCAGAAGAGGATAAAGAGCAGCAGCCATGGTATGTCTGTACAGCTACGGTCCTCTAGTGGCTTCCATTCTCGTTTGGAGCTCTATTGAAAACACAAAGTAAGAGACCACGGTGAATGTTAAGTGGAATTAAAATTGGAAAGGCACAACGCACCATTCAGACTTAGATCTCTTCTTTGCTGGACAAGTTTCTATTGGGCCTTTAAGACACAATTCAAATATCTGTCCCATTTCCTGTGAAGTTTACCCTAACTCTCTCGGCCAACACTCCATTGGCCCCATTCCCACCCACATTCTTGGCCAGGCAGAGTACGAAGTTCAATGCATGTTTGTTACTTCTATTACAGTATTTAAAACACTCAGCTATTGATTCTCATTTGTTGTACTGTGTTTCCAGCAGACTGTAAGTTTCACAAAAGGTACCAAGAGACCAGTCTCATTTCCCAGCATCAAATATGATGCCGGAGAAGTCATGATATGTACCCACCAAAAAACTTTTAAATTTAATAAACACAAGAACAAACTTTTCCAACTTCAATCTTAGTGCTAGATTTTCCTTTGTGTGTCCAGATGCTTCATTTTAAAAAATTTTAGAACATGCTTTCTGTGAAGGAAGCCCATCAAAATGAAATCCTATTCAGTGAGTTTTATATATAAAAAGGAAAAATTCAATTTTTATAGGCAGAGCTGGGTAACATGTGAGACACCATTTATGGATTTTTATTGCGCTCCTGGAACATGTTAGAGTTTCTAGATCAAACACAAAGATTCCCTAACTAAAGAACTAGAGGCATTCTCAAAGCTAATTTGCAAAGTACTGATTGGAATTCCAATTGTACTTTGTTCTTATTGCAATAGTCTCAGGTTCTCAGGTCAGTTCACAAATCTCTTTTAATCAAAATGTAACTGAATAACACTGCTGGGCTTTCTTTTTCTTTAGGCTTTTGCCATAGGGCTCATGTGCTTGTTGGAGAAAGAGCGGAAAAATGAGAAATCTCCCCCAGAGGGGATGATCATGCTATAATCCTTTCTCTTCCATTCTCCTCTTGAGATTTTTGGGCCCATACACACGTGTACCTGGTGTGATTTTCAAGCTTCCAAGTCCAGGACTCAAACTATGGTCAGCAACGTGGAAATCTAGTGCTTTAACTGTCACACCACCTACTGGCCCCACTCCTGAGCTTTCTAAAGAACAAAAATCTCCAAGTCTCACTCCTGGAAACAATAAGCTGAAAAGGGAGGAAAAAAGGTAGCCTTGGGAAACCTTGGGAAAAAGTTCCTGTAATAAGGTTGAGGCCTCCAGAGGCTTCCATGACAAGATACAGAAAGCTATCTAGAGATAGCTTTCAGTAGGCAGGGCACCAGCAGTAGAGGACCGGAAAGCAGGAACCCCTCAGTAGAATGAGTATTTAGAGTTCAACCCATCTGAATTCTACTTTACTCAAAGAAAGTTTTAAAATATGTATCCTTTGATCATTTGATGAAAGTTACAGATTCATCTCTTGAAACATAAGCACATATTCACATAATTTGCAAAAAATTCTGGTGATTCAAACCCCAAGTTAAGAAAGTCAACTTTAAAATATCTATCAACAATGAGGGCAGAGAATTTGAGCTACACCCTTCTTCTTGACCCCTAAAGTATTAACTAAACAAATGACTTCTTAGTGCCTTACACAGTTTGACTGTTATCCAAAAAACTCAGTTAGCTTGTTCTCAGACACCCACACAAGAAAACAAAAAAGCACTAGCTAGTCATGGGGAAAAAATCTTACCCTAAGACTCTAACTAGCATTATAAACTGAGAATGAGTAGGCGATTTTTCCAGAAGAATGCAGTGCTAAGGCACAATGGATGAAGGACTCAGTCTCTCCTTGGCTCTGGCAGTTAGCTACATGACTTTAGATAAATCACTTCATCTCCCAGGGTGGCAGGAGGAGTCAGATTAGATCTCCTAAGTTCCTTCCAACTCTAAAAATCTATGATCAGGAATGTACTTTTGTGAAAACTTCTGGTATGACATAGAAAAAAACTGCAGAATTGACACTGTTCCCTGTGTTATTCAAGGAAGAATGCCTGTACTGTGTACTATGGTGTGTATTTTGGAAGGCCGTTGCTCATAATGTGAATAAAGAATGTTTTTTCACATTAAATAATCTTGGTCTTAAATAATACCCATTATAGTAAAATTACTCACAAATACAGAACTTGGAGACTTCTTTGAATTTCACTCCGTGGTAATTTATAAAGCAACAGCTACTTTAAAGTACTATATTTGGGCCAGTAGATGGCACAATGGTTAAGGAACTGGAGTCCTACATGGATGACCATGGTTTGAGTCCCAGACCCAGCAGCTTGAGAATCACACCAGGCATGTGTACATGCATGCAAAAATCCCCAGTGGAGTAGAGAGAAGGGACTGCAGAGTGTCATCCTCCCTGGGGGGTGATTTCTCACTTTCCCTCTCTCTGGATCTTTTCGTCTCTCTCCTCTCAGGTGAGCACACACACATAACAATGACCCCTCCCCACACCACCAAAAAAATAAACCCCGCTACATTTGTCTGTCCTAACAAACAGTATATGGGAAGAGGGCTTTTCTGGTTGACTGAGTAGTCTATTTATCCACAACTATTTTCTTAGTATTTTTACCTCAGACCAACACTCAGTCTGTCAATGCTTATACTTTCATCCAGAACATGAAGGAAGAGATTTCATGCTTGATCAGAAAACTACAAAAACTCATCATCTTTTTTTTAAAGATTTATTTGGTTTTACTTTATTTATTTATTCAAATTTGACCAGAGAGGGATAGAATGAGAGGGGAGAGAGAGAGAGAGAGAGAAAGCAAGCAAGCACAAACAAGCAAGCAAGTCACCAGGCCTGGGACTCGAACCATGGTCCACTATGTGGGAGTCCAGCATCCTTAACCACCACCATGCCACCTGCTGGCCCACAGAAACTCATCATCTTAACATTCAGTGTAATTGCTGTGGGCCAGTTCTGTGCCATATACATAACCTCTCACTGGAATGAAGAGTGGAGAAAGGGTTGGATTACATTTAAAATATAGTGAGCATCTGTCACCTAGTACATCATCGATTCTTGGTTGTTATTACTCATCGACACTCACTGTCAGTTAGTTCATCCTCTATTCCTTTTACCAGGTAGACTTTTCCATTGAAAGGGATAATAAGAATATTAAATTCTTATTTTTCCCTCATGTGTACAAAATTTTGACCTAATGGTTACGGTTTTAATTTTGCTATTATTTTTAAGGCTGTCATTTACTAATAACTATTAACCAGACACTAAACCCAAAGTTTAACACACATTATGTCTTCCACCTTCAAAACAGTTCTCTGGGACCAGCAGTTAGCGTAATGGCTATGTCGCTGGACTCCCACATAGTCGACCGCGGTTCGTGTCCCAGACCCGGTGGCTTATAACTCACACCAGGCACGTGTGCGTGCGTGCCCAAGATCCCGAGAGGAGAATGGAGGAGAAGGGATTGTGGTGTGGCCATCCCCTCCTGAGGGGTGATTTCTTGCTGTCTCTCTGGTGAGCGCACGTGCCCTATAGCAAAAACCTCTCAAAAAAAAAAAAAACAAAAAAACAAAAAAACAAAAACAAAACAGTTCTCTGAAAAAGGTATCAATTGTATATCATAGATGAGGAAATAGAGACACTGAAGTTAAATAACCAGCCCAAGGTTTCACAACTATGCAACCAGGATTTGAACCCAAGTCTGTGACTCCAAACACAATATTCAAGCATACTAGTCAGGATAAAGCAACAGCCTCCTCTAGTTTTTTTTCACATTGCAAAATGTGGGAGACAATCCTATTATTTTAAATCCTAGAGGTACAGAGAAAGTGAGTAAGATGTGTTATGAGCCATAAAATTTCGTGAGTCAGGAAATCCAACAGTTGAAAAATTTTAATGATTCTTTAACAGATTTAACCAAGTGGCAACTAAATTTAATGCTATCCGTTTCTTCCAATTAAAATTCCATACAGACCTAGCAAATGTAAAATGTTTTACAAAAATACTTTTTAAATGTGATTTTATTCCTTTCTACATGAGATTAATACTGGCTGTCAATAAATGTTAGGTTTCTTTCCCTTCACAGAAACTTACAATTTAGGAACTAAACAGAACTAAAGTAATCATACAGTCTAAACCTTTAATGAAAGAATGACTTAAGACCAGAAAAGAGAAGGGAAGGGAAGGGAAGGGAAGGGAAGGGAAGGGAAGGGAAGGAAAAAGAAGGGACTTGCCCAAAACACTCATTTATTTTATCTACAACCTTAATTTGATTCTCAAAACAATTCTGTTAGTTGTTACCATATATATTCCCGATTTTTCTATTTTGTAGAAGAGAAAATAAGTAGAAATTTTATATCTGAAACCTGAGTACTCAAACTTCAACAAGGAAATAGAAATTGTAAGAGTGGTAAGAAAATGCTAAAATAAATCTTTTTTTTAATTAAAACATGGTAACAGAGATAAAGAATGCTTTTGTCAGGCTAATCAGTATACTAAACACATCTAAGCAAAGAATCAATACACTCAAAGATAGGTCAATAGAAATTATTCAAACTGAAACACGGAGAATAAAAGAATGAGAATTTAAAAGCCAGAACAGAGTATCCAAGAACTAAAGGACAAATATCGAGTGTTCTAACATGTATGTAATTAGAATTCTAAGAGAAGATAAAACAGGGCCCAGGAAATATTTGAAGAAAAAAAAAAGGGATGAAAAATTTCCAAAGTAGTAAGAGAATTAAGATCCTAAATATTTAAAGCCCCAAGCAAAAAAAAAAAAAAGAACACACACACCTATCCTACACTTACTACAGTATATTCAAACTGTTAAAAAACCAAAGATACAAAGATCATCTTCAAGGCAGCCAGAGGATGAAAAATAAAAAAATCCACATGCATTTTACAATGAAAAACAAAGATTATAATAAACTTCCCTGTTCAAAACTATGCAAAATAGAAGACCACAGAATGACATCTTTAAATTGCTGAAAACAAGAAACTATCAACTCAGAATTCTATACCTAAAGAAACTGTCT